AGAGCGTTGATAAATATATCACTGAGGCTCTGGTATTTGTTTGGAAGTTTCTGCATCTGAGAAGAGCATTCCATCCTGAAAATTGATATAAGAACTCCTTTTGTTCTGTATGCAGAACCATGTGAGAAAATACTTTGGAAAAGGTGCTACTTCTCAATACATCTGTCCAGTATATCTCTCTCCCGAGTAACAGATTTTCTTTGTCAAGGACACTGCTATGAGTGATTGAGAGCAATGGTGTTTTTTTTTGTTAAGATTAGCATGTCTGTTTTCCATGTTGCTCTCAGATGGAGAAGTTTTGTGGCCATCATTCAGTGGCTAAAAACACCGCTGGAATGTAACAGAAGACATCTAAGCTCTAAATTACATTTTACAGATCCTCTCCATGAAATGGAGACAATCGGAGAAGTCAAGCCTAAGCCCTTCTGTGATGCTGCTGCTTATCACTGCAGTTTGTTAGCAGGCAGACAGACCCCTCCAGGGTCCTTCTGGGGAGAAGATGGTGAGGGAGACTGGCTGTCACTGCCAGATGTTTCCAATCCTATGAAAGCCACGCAATTTGCTCCTCTCCCGTTTTCTGTGTTTAAGATATTGTGCACTGCTTGAGAAATTGCTGGGGCTTAGGTTTAGAGAATAAACTCAATAAAATTAAACGTAATTTTAATGGGAAATAAAAACTTGTTTTAAAAGCATTTTCACTGGAATTTCCACATTATTCAGAACCAGATGCCAAATGCAGATGGTATATAGTACACAATTCTGTATTTTACTTTCTTTATTTGTGAGTCATAGTGTACTGGTACTGTACAGGTTTATTACCTACCTGTTGGCTGTAGGTTAATATACTGTACTATTGCTGCTAATAATAGTATATGTGTTATCTACCTGTAGCCTGCAAACAAGGTATTGACAGAGTCCATCCAGGAAGCCAGCAGGCACATTTTGAGAACAGCAGTTGTCCTAGTCAGCTTGCCTTTGGAAGGTGGAATATAACCCACGAAGATGGGGGAGAACATGCAAACTCCATACGGAATGCCCCCAGCCCAGAATCAAACCCAGGAAACAACAGCTGTAAATAATAATTAATGAAATAATAATAGAAGGCACAACAATTAATTTCCCTGTTTTGTTTTTAAGTATTTCTTTAGCTTTTGGTTTGTCCATATTGAAGGTATAATTCTCACTGTCTGCCACACAGGAGTGATGATGTTGGAGTGGCAGATGTGATGGACAGAAGTGTACATAGTGTTACATTTTGCACTTTCTTAGCAAATACTCTCAACAATGTGTTCTGGCCAGTTTCTTCCCCCCGAAGTGCGTCAGCTTTGTGCTTTAGTCTGACCTCAGCGCTGTCTCTGACAACAGGCCTCTCAATGTGTTTGTGATCAGCCAGTTCCAGAAGCTCACAGAGAGTGAGGTAGTGAAGCTCTCCAGACACAGTGCCACGGACAGTCACAATGTCATGTACAGTTAGATGGGTTAGGAGAAAGAGAGCAGAGAGAGATCTATTTTTAACTGCATTGTAGTACTTTTGGCATATTAGTGCAGGGTTCCATTGTGGTTTTAATTTCTTGTCCCAGTAGGCTGTCCTGATGTGCACCTCTGATATTATTGTTTCTTTCTTTATACAGCCGGCGGAATGATGGATATGAGATTTCCTTTTTGAGAGGCCAGCATGCACAACTTTATAGGACATGTTGGATTGCTCCCTCCTTTTTAATCCCACTAGCTGACCTGTGCGATATGACTTCAGAGAACTTCAGATGACTTTAGTCATGTGCTCCAAGACATGCTGGTGGTGAGATTGAATCCTTTTAGGCAGGAGAGTGCAGAAAGCTTCGGTTTGATCCAGGTCTTACTGATGTCCAGCACTAACCTACAGGCTCCTGATAAGAAGACACTCATGCAACCCACTGAGCTCACTTTCCATGCCATGCTGATGCCCCATAAACACACCAACAATGGGCCAATGGGCAAATGGGCCAAGCTCTCATTCTCCACCACAGTCCCCGGATTTCACTGATCAACCAGCTGGTCTGCTGCACATGAACTTTGCTACTTAAGTCTGAAGAGGCAAAGTGGCTCGGAATTCTCCAAGAGAAATACTGGAGCTCATAAACTTATTGCAGATCAATGCTGTGTGAAAAAGTCATGACCCCACCCTTGCTGTAATCAGTTTCTGCAATTCTGGAGTAGTTGGACAGTAGCTTTTATGAGCCTTTGATTAACATCCGTCTACAGTCACACCATGGCTTGTGAAAGGAAAAAGCAACCTTTAATAATGTAATATCAGTAAGTGAGATGTGTGAGGTGTATTCACCAATGCACACAGAGAAAAGGGAACAGAGTGTCTTCTGTTAAATACGAAGGAAAGCTGGAACATCACATCAAAGTGTCAATTAGAAAAGTACTCAAACATCCTGAGAGAGGATATACATTTATACTAATTCTTTAATGCAACAAACAAGACATATACGGAAAAATGGTGATGGCCAATGTTATACAGTTTACGTTTTCAGTGTTTATAGGATGATATTAAAACTCAGCAGCGGCAAGTGTGACTATAAAGAAGGTTTAAACACCATCACACCATTAAATATTTTTAGATTTTCTAAAGGCAGTCCACCAAGTTTATTTTTTTCTCATTCTAGGGCTGAATGCTTTGCATTTCTCGAATTGTAATCGTAATAGTTTTAAAATCCTCAGTGTGTTCCCAAAGGATCTTTGCCTTACCCTCCATTGCAAAGCTCTTTCTTGTATTTTCTCAGGTGTATTTCATCAATTAATAATGTGCATTAAAATGTCCAGCTCTGCAAATTCTTTTCAGGCAGATCAGAATCCTTGATTGCAAGATATTCTTTCACAGCTCATTTGCCTGGAATGTGATGTCTCACACAGCAAAAGACGGCAAGTGAGAAGAATTCAAACAAAATAAGCTTCTTCTCCATTTCTGACTAAATCCTCCTAAAATGTGTTTGATCCAGCAAACACGATTCCAGCATGAAGTCAAATAATTGTCTTCTGTTTGGAACCACAGCAGGTGAAGGGGACCATTTTCCTTAGGAGTGTCTAAGTATAATGTGGTGTTCTTGTTGCATAACATTGCAGTGCTTGGGTTTTTGAAGGAGCAGGCCTTCTCCAAGCTACAGAGATGAGCAGAAACAAGCAGAATGAGGTCTTTAGGAATGAGCTGATGCCCAGACATCATGTCTGCGATGTTTCAGAAGGACTTTGGGATTTACTGTCAGACAGAAAAGCAAGAAAGCTCTGCTGTCCTTTGTTTAAATTTGTGATGACAATTCCAAAATCTCATAGTTCTTGTTAATGTAGGAATTTATGCAAAAATCCACTCAATTGTGTGTGTCTTTGATTCCAACATTTTGTCTTGTAAACATTTTTCAAAAAAGGCAAAAAGTAGGCTGAAAATGTCAAGTAATCTAATCTCTTTGGCTTTTGGCCATCAAACAAATCTGAATGTTAGACAAACATAGTAAAATATACATCAGAATAATCTAAACAAAAGCTTTAACTCAAAATTATTGAAAACCATATTGTTCACATCGCTTTTCAGCAGATCGTGTTTATGGTCTTTGCTGCTGCTGGGGTTTATAAAGTAGCTGATTTACAGAGTTTCCCGAAGTTGTCTGCTTCCATGTGCTCATTCCTTACATTTCAGCTCATGTAAAAAAAGAAAAGTACATTTTTTTAAAAGCCTGTTTCAAGAAATGCAAAGGAAAACCGAAATGTTTCCATTGATCCTGTTGGGCCTCTAGTTTCTATAATATACTCTACAGGAGTGTTATTCTAAGCATTATAGTTTATCTGGTTATGCATACCTTAAAATAAAACATTATCACGAACTGTTGAGATCTACAGTATGTTTCAGCACAGAGTTTGTTTAAGTCGACCAGTTTGCTACTTGTTATTCAAGAAAGTCAGCTCCAGAAGGAAGGAATACTCACTGTATGGTGTATGGTGTTCTTCTTTTTGACACCATTGAAGTTTTCTTTCTTTATTAAAAGCCGATTTTTGTGTAAAATAAAATGAAAACGGGTCCTTTTGCATTACTTTCAGACAGATGTGTTTCAGTGCTGTTGAGTTTTGGAACGCTTTTAAATGCGGAAAATAATATGTACTAGGTCAGGGTAGGGATGGAGAAAATCTTCCTTCAGTTTAATGGAGTTCATATCTTGCTGTGAAATGAAACCCTGATGAAGACTGCAATGAATAAGGCTTTAATGCAAATTACATCAATACAGCAAAATAAGACACAGCTAGCTGTACACACTGTACAGCGAATAGCAAGAAACACAGAAGTTTAATAGAAATTAGTAATGAAAATACCTTGCATATCATGCTCAATATAAATTGCATCTTTTACAATTTGTTCCTTGGTAGCTATCTAATCTTTTTACTGCAGAGCTTGGTCTAGGGCTCCCATTTGTTCAGAAAAAGAAAACAAGAAAATGTTTAATCCGGTTCCAGCTTTAACTTGTACTTTGCTCCTTTGAGCATTCCTCACTCTGGGTAGGTGGGGTTCACTAAACACTCACCCCCAAAAGCCTTCAAATTCTCTCAAGAAATGCCTGTGGATTGAAACGGACCCCCAACACAGGAAAGCAGAAACTGTCCTTTCATTCTTTGTGTGGCTTCCCCATCCTGTCGCTGGAATAAAGTTATTAAACGTAATAATTCCTCCCTGCTTTTCACCAGTCCCAGCCAGCGTTCCAGTTTACATTTTAGCAGACGTGTGCTTGGTACAGTATGTCAACACCCTTATCATCGGTCCGAGGGTTAAATATGGAAACGGGACCTTTCTCTTTTTTTTTTTTGCTCCTTCTTTAAGAAAATGCAGCAACCCCAAATAAGGAGATTGGCTGGAGACTGCAAGTGAATCCAGTCCAAGCTGTTCCTCAGTAAGGCTTTGAAAGAAAGATTTAGTGGGGGGGTGGCTGAGAGAGTAGTGTGTGGGGAGGGGGGGTAGAGGGTTATGACGGGGGGGAATCACTAGGGACTGAGGCTGTCTCCAAAACCTCCAGTCAGGTTTTGTAGGAGTTTAAAGCCGCGGAGGCAGAGCTGGGTCTGAGTCTCGATCACTGGAGTTCTCTCCTTCACTCCTCTCTCCCTCTGACTGGGGCCGGCTGCTTCTGCCTCCTGGCAAAAGACTTGCGCTCTCTTCAGTCTCTGCTCCTCTTCTGACTGAGCCACCTCTGTGAGTCTGCTCCCCGTCCCCCGCGCGCACAGAGACGCCCCTCGTTTTACTCTGCTGTTTTTCTCTTGCCTTTCTGTATTTCTCCTCGCCGGCGGTAAACCCCACACCCGAAAGCCAAAATGGAGGCCATCAAGAAGAAGATGCAGATGCTGAAGCTGGACAAGGAGAACGCCATCGACCGCGCGGAGCAGGCGGAGTCCGACAAGAAGGCAGCGGAGGACAAGTGCAAGCAGGTGAGGCATGCAGTTGGGATAGGGATAGGAATGGAGATATGGATGGGGATAGGGATCTGTATAAGGATGGGGATACGGATCAGGATTGGGACAGGTCTGAGCATAAGGATTGATATATGGATTACAGGGATTGGGATAGGGATATGGACTGGGATTAGGATAGGGATGGAGATAAAGCCTGGGATGATGATGATAGGGATGTGGATTGAGACTGGGATAGGGATGTGGATGTGGATGTTGATAAGGAGAGGGATGGAGTTAGGGAGGAGGATGGAGATATGAATTTGGATAGGTAAAGTGGCTGCCTGGAGTATCCAAACATGCCCCAGGAAACTGACACAGAACAGGAATCACAGAAGGGAAACCAGTACCTGTATCACATCCCAGTTCCCTGATAAAAAAAAAGTGCATTCTGTGGTCAAAGCAACTCCGAAGTGTCATGGTTTCATAAGAAAATCATGATCATAAATTAATAGCTAAATATGAAAAGCAGAGGAAAACATATACATGATAATTAACTTCTACATGGGGAATCCCGTTCTGAGAGAAAAGATTAGCTCTTTCAATAAATGTCCACAGCAGGAGTGTGTGATAGTGCAGAATGAGTGGGAACATGAGATTCAGTGTTCTAGCTCAAATCAGTTGGCAGGCAGTGTCACCAGAGTGCCAAACATACTTGGAGTTAGGTGCAGTGAACGGAATTGTGTCATAACCTAACCTCTTCCTGGAGATTTTGGTGCTCTGTTTGTGCATGATGTAGACTGCTAAAGAAACCACATCCATATAAGGCCATAGAGCTCTGAAAATGAGAGACACCTGGTGACGTTCTCGAGCTAGCATAGCATATATTAGGCAATATGACTAACTACAGAGTCTTATGATCCAATAATTAGCACTTGGTGAGAAACTATTGCTGTTGCAGCAATTTTAATATGAGTACATACTTTGGAATCCATCTGAAATCTACGATAATCTAGTCTCAAGGCTTAGACTCTCAATAACGAAATACTTCACCTATTTGAATTCCACCATGAAATCTCCTGTCTATACAATGTTATCATAAAATGCCTGTTATGGTGTTCTCTTAGCATTTTTCTGGCCAGCTTTTTTCAGTGGCGTCTCCTTTATTACTTTATAATTCCCAGCTTTCAATAACCTGTCACAGGAAAAGACATAAGCCAACTGAGCACCATATAGTTTCAGTTTCCTGTAGGGTAGATTTAGCCCTGCCTCTTGAATCGGCGTACATTCTTTGTCTCGCAATGAAAATGATTTTAAGGGAAAAGGAAAGCAGAAATGTATGAAAAACAAAAAAGAAGGATTTAGTTTGGGAGCTCAACAGCGTTAAAGAGACCCGGTGAGGAGTTGTACTGGGTTGTGGTTCTTGCTAGTTTGCTCAGCTGAGCTCAGTTCAGCAGGAAGAGCCCTTTGACCAGTTGAAATGCCCGTGTCGAGAGGGACAGAATGGAGTGAAAGTACAGTAACAGGAGGGGGAAAGCAGTGTGAAAGTTTACAACAGGTTAAAACAGCATCACTAGAACAAGGGTAGCAGACTTCCAACACCTGCAAACACTGCCAAGTGTGTGATTACATGGAAATAGATCAAAGCTCTGAAGCTTAGGCACTGAAGCTCTGGGCTCTCCTGGCCTTGTTTCAGACCTAGCCTTGTTTCAGTCTGTCCAAACATTACCTGTAACTATGGAGGAGGAACACCACAATATCTATCACAGTAGTACAATTTTTTTAGTCTTCTGTTTCTGCAGAAGATTCATCAGTATAATCTTATTTATTCCGTTGCCTCTTTCTGCATTTAGCCCATGTACAGGATCTCAGCGAACATGTTTTATTGTAACGCATCGTGTAGGAAAAGGCTGTTTTGATGCATCGACATGGCAATTCAAGTTTTGAACTCTTAGTCATCGGGATCTTGCTTATGGAGCGATATACCACCAACAGCGGGAACAGCAGTATGGATTATGGATGGGACAGATGGTGACCTTTTTGGGATGTGCTGACCTGGGGTCCTATTGGGATAAGAATGCGTAGGATTCTGGGAGCGAAGGGGACGGAGAGCGCAGTTGGCAGCTGGAGAAAGTTGGAGAGGTGGCGGGGAGAGAGGACAGGAGCCCCAGTGGCTGACAGGCATCTCCATCGCCACTCAAACAGGAGCAGCAACTTACTGGCAGCCAATAGTTATGGCGATATTTTTAAACACGGAGAGATAGCCTGCTTGGAAGCCTGGGGATTATCAGGGATGCTTTGGAGAATTAAATGCACAAACTTCGATAACAGATACTTAGCCGCTGTCATCTCTTGGGCATTAATTAGCAACATCCTGAAGGGCTCGAAAACTATAAATATACTGTGTGCTCAACAATCAGGGCTAAAGGCTCAGTTTCAGGCTTAAGTTATCCACCTTCACCGCTTAACTGCAAACACTGACAACTGCAAAAACTGCAGCATATTGAAACAAGACACTTGTTTGAGCCTCTTACGAGACACATGGTTGAGCAACTTGATGAGCCTCTTAACAAAATGGAAGTGTGATCAGGATATCAGACACAGCAATCCTGAACCTTACTAAAGGCAGAAGCACCAGGATAAAGTCGTCTTTATTATATAATGGCAAACCGTAATGGACATCTTTTAACCCCCCAAAAAAATACAATTGGGAAAATGATTCATTCAATAGGCACTTTAAAATGAATTGTACCCCTGAAAAGGGGGAAGACCAGTTATATTTGGTTAGAAGGCATTTCAGTGTTTGGTAAGCAGTAGGGAACGTTGCCAATGGTCTGCACATTTTGAAGTTAAACTGCTCCCAAAATCTTTTGACATCTGTCACTATTAAGATAAGATAGGAAGAATGCTATTCCTTAAAAACAACATTCAGATAATTCAAATAGAGTATATCCATTGATTAATATGGGTTTAAAAAAGGACGAACGGTTTTAAGAGACAGCACCTCTAATTTTGCCCTGTGGGGTATTTGTAGAAGTATGGCTGTAATGGTAGATATATCTGGAGAGGCAGAAAATAAGCTCTAGAATAACTCTAGAACTCTAGCTCTAGAACTTGACACAGTAGAACTGCACCATGCATTCAATTAGGTTTATATAGGTTTGTTAGCAAAAGCTATTAAGGGTTATACTGTATAACATTTATGACACCAGATTTATTTGATTGTTTTGCCAGGATTAGAGCTCACACACTATAAATCCATGCTCCGTGCTCTTAACTTCCTCAGGTCACACAGGCTAATGAGGGATAATTTTTTCTAATACCTCACAGCCTGCCTGGTGGTTGGCTGTGTGAGAGTGAGCCAGTGCGTGAAAGAATTCTGAAGCAAAGAAATAAAACAGCGTAGGGCACTGTCTCACACTTTCTGCGGGGCTGCACAGTCTCAAAGACACAGATTCCAAAAGTGCGATTTGCAGACAGCGGAGATGTGTATGTTTTACAGTGCTCGAAAGAAGAAAAGGACCCACTGTTGAAACCGCTGCCTTTTCTGCTTTTACAACATGCTTCTTCCCACCACTTAAAAGACTGTTTTTAATCTGCGTGTGTCGGTACTCATGGTGCCTTGGAGGCAGTGTCATGGAACATTAAAGCCCAGAGAGGGAAACCTGATCTAGGAGACCTTGTGTTGACATCAGGGCAAGATACAGAACATAAAAAACCCTTTTTGTCTTGATTCAGCCCGTTTTGGAATTCCAAGCAAATGATTTCATTCACTGGCTACGGCCAGCATGACTGCTATTGGAATCACCTGTAGCAACACCTAGAAGAGCCATGATTGAGGAAGGTTTATGCTCAGTCTTGTGAAAGGGAAATCAAGCAGTTAAAAACTGCACTACAGGAACAGAGATATGAGGCATTCTGCAATATTTGATACTGATTAGACCATTGACATTCAATTTTTAAACAGCAAGTGCTTATTTTCAAGTTGTGGTTCCCGATAAACAGTTCCAATCACAGCTCGTTGAAACACACCAGTTGGTTTGCAGATTCTTCCATTGAAAGAAAGAAAACTAAGCCTGCTACACCTTCCAGTACAGAAACTCTATGCACCATTTCCAAAATAACACATTTTTTAGCCTGCAATCAAGGCACATTCAATCAGATTTCCCCTTTATTTACACATTGTAACTCCAAGTGGAAATCAAATGCACCAACTTCTCAAAAATAATTCAAAATGAAAACCTAGAAAAGGATGTTGGTTAAGTGCACACACCCCTTTGTAATAGTAATGGTAAATTAGCTCAGGTATAATCAATTGCCTTTCAGCAAGCTAATTAGCCTGTGTCCAATTGCAGTAATTCTGATGGTTTCAGAATAAAATGGGTGTGTAGATTTTCCATAGGCACTGTGTATACTATATATAAACATATTTTACTGTACTGTATATGTACCAATGAAGCATGGCACATAGTGCTACCTCCCAGTGCTGGGGTCCTGGGTTCAATGGGGCTCTATCTGCATGGTTTCTCCTCATATGCATGTGCATTTCTTTCAGCTCTGCTTTCCTCCCATAGTCCAAAAACATACTGGGATGTTAATTGACTTCAGGGAAGATTGGCCGTATGTGTGAGTGTGAACTTGTCTGTGTCTGTCTGCCCAGAGATAGACTGCCCAGGGTGCACTCTGCCTTGTCCATTGCTGACCGATTAAGGCCTCAGCTCCCTCGTGACCCTGAATTGGAAGGAGTACAAAGAAGATGGATGGATGGATGTATTAATTTAGGTTAGGATTTGTCATAGGGATTAAATTGCACGTAATGAGTGAAAGTCTGAAACCCTATCAGCTCTTGTTCTTTTTCTGCTGGCACAAGGACACAAGCAAGGACTGATGTTCTCTTTCATGATAGATTAGAACCATGAAGAGGCCCCTTTTCATGAAATATTGTCTGACCACAGAAGCAGCTTTGGGTATTTCCACACTCCCTTTTATCCAAGGGTTTATGTGAAGGGGAAAACAAAGAAAGAAAGCAGCAGAAAATGTGAAATTATAAACCTGTTTGATATCCAGAGAGTGTCGCCTCTCTCATTCTGCCCTTGTGTCTGACTGTAGCGATATTATTGCATGATGATATCTGTTCTGTATTGCCCTGGTACCATGTCTGCACACAACAAAACCAGGACATAAAACACAGGTGGTCACTGCAGGCTGTTTCTAACAATACAAAAACATACAAAAGGTCGCAATTGAGTGGAAGATTAGTTTGATCGTTGTGGTTGTGTGCCTACTATTAGGTTACTGTAGGTTACTAGTAGGTTCTAAAAATTCATGAAAGTGCTTCTTTGTGAATTTGTTTTTGCAACACAATATTACCAGGGTTTCCTTTACACTGGTTTCTAGTGACTGGTAGTACATCGGTGAAGTGGTTAGCACTGCTGCCCAGGGTTCAATTCCAGACCTGGGGTGCTGTCTGCTAGGAGTTAGTAGGTGGGTTTGTGTGGCTTTCCTCTGGGGGCTCCGGTTTCCTCCCAAAAACATACTGGTAGGTTAATTGGCTTCCGGAAAAATTGGCCCTAGGTGTGAGTGTGTCTGTCTGTGTCTGCATGTGTGTGTGTCCCTACCATGTGCCTGTTGCTTGCTGGGTTAGGCTCCAGCTCAACCGCAACACTGAAGAAGTGGTTAGAAAATGGAAAGATGGATGTTCTAGGTGCCTGGAACAAACTTTCCCGCCTTGCTGTTGAAGATGATACCCTGGCTTCTTTTAACAAGCGGCTGAAAAAAAGATACTTGGATCAATCAATTATTTGCAAACAATAACAGCTTGAATTGCCCAATGGCATCCTCTCTTTTGCAACCTTTATTATCTGCTAATGCTGTGGCTAATGTCAGGTTTTGACAGGAACACTGCTGCCAAACCCTTCTCCCTGACTCTTTCATCTCCTCCCCTCTTTCTAGATGGAAGATGAGCTTATGGGACTGCAGAAGAAGCTGAAAAGCACTGAGGATGAGCTGGACAAATACTCTGAAGATCTGAAGGATGCCCAGGAGAAACTGGAGCTGTCGGAGAAGAAGGCCACAGACGTGAGTAAATGTTCTGGGGAGTCAGCCAAGAGCTCCATCCTGGACTACCGAACAACAGGCCCTCCCCACGTCATTCCCCTGTAGAAAACACTTCACAGTAGTTATTCTTCATTTTTCCTATTCTCAACACGTAAATATGGGAAAGTTTGTAACAAAGCCCTGCCTAGGAATGGATTGCAATTCAATTAATTATTCAATGTCCTTTTTAAACTGAATCCTTCACCCCTGAGTCTTTGCCAATTCACATTTCATCTTCTTAGGAATGCAGTCAATTTCTAAAAACTAAAACACAGTACGTGGAACCATTACGTTTACTGTATATTGCAATGGTCAAGTATACTATATGGTTCTGTATAGTTATTCTCATAAAGGGTAGTGTTAACTCCATTCCTTTGACAATTACACTCTTTGAACAAAGAGTATTGTTAACTGGACACATGCCACCTGTGTGTACTGAAATCATATTATGAGACAAGTTAATCAGAAGACATGCCAGACTACTGGAAACAACTGTGAGATGGCTTTGATCAAGAACAGCCTGAATCATGACCTACTTGGCAAAGGGTATTTAACATTCTTTCATTCAAGTCTTGAAAGATTAGATTGAGAAATAAGAGAAACAAAATCTACACACCATACCAGTGCTGTTCCTGTGGGAGCACTCTGAGTCAATCCTAGCCTTGCAGAAATGAATATTCTGTATGTATTACTGTTCCAGTCGGTAAGGCATTATCAAGTATGAGTAACAAAACCTACTAGAATCCGTGTTAAAGGTGTGGCAACATAACACACCAATCCATTGACACACAAACTTAGCATGCAAATCTCACTTTACATGTTACAGTATATACTTTATTTAAAGGAATACAGGCTGATCTGGTGCTAGTGTTACAAGCGTCATTTTGAGAAACAAGTACAGTACGGTGAATTCCACAGAAAATCTATTATTTTACCAACTTTAGACCTTCAACGATTAAATCTTTCACTCACAGTTCACTTCTAAGGTAGGAATTAAGGGGAAAAACAACTGCTTATTCTTGTTTTTCACAGCAACAATATTGTAGTCGTTTATTTCCCTGTGCAGAATAAGGGCAGATATGTAAAACGTTCTCCTCCATCAAGCCAGTTAGCTGGTTCATCTTTCACAAAAATCTGTTAAACTACAGCTTTACTGGATTCTCTTCCAGACTCGTCCTTGATATTATAAGTGTGTTTACATATCATCAGGAAAAGACTGAGGACAATGGCAGCGAGTAGTTGAGGCCAGTCCTAAAGGGCAACCTACAGATTTTTCAACTGATTCAGCTGGTCGACGTTTACCATGACTGCCAAATAAACTTTTTTTTCCAATTTAAATATAAATTAGACCATTTTAATTCTTTGCCTGGATGATGTTTTTTCTGGCCTGGTCTGAGGATTATTTTATATTGTACAGTATGCAATACTTTGATTAAGAACCACAGTGCACTGCACAGATGCGTATTTATATACATGTTCTTTAGTTTTACACAACGCTCTTGGGGATCTAGCTCCTGGGCCTGCAAGAATAGGTGGTAAAACCATAAACGAAGGCAGGGGCCGACTCACAGCATTGTACACTGGGCCCTGCAGCTTCTATTTGCACAATGGGGTCGTTCTTTGGTCACAGCGCTTGTAAAATTTAATCCAATGCTCCTGGAACATAAAAAAAAATAAAAATGGTAGCACTGCAGGAGTGTGCTTTGCACATTAGTGCACTGCTTTCACAGCTCTGCTGCTGATAAGCTTACAGTATGGGAGACATCCCTCTGCCTGCCTTGCAGGACCAAAGGAATTCCAAATATGCGACTAATGCAAACAGTAAACCTCATACCCTTGTGCCTAATGAAATCAATGCTTTGCTCTTTTCCGGTGGGCAATACAGAGGGCCAGATTTTTGCAAGCTGTAGCCAAACATTTCCATCGGAAAATTCACAGGGACATATAAATTAAAACCAGTGGACGCTTTGTCTCCTAGCTGGGGAACAGCGTTCTAAGAAAATGAGACTGGGGATTTAGCCCACACTTATTTATTGCATGTCTCAGGTAGCAGACTTTTCAGACAATGCATTCCTCAAAGGCACAAAAATGAAAACATTATGTCTAGATCAGCTTAGTGTATTTCTATAGACTCGGCTTCTGCTCTTTCTAAACCATTTTTGCTGGGTTTTCTGAGGAGTCTTTTCTGTGAATGAAATGCCATATTCGGTCTTATCAAATCTAATTTGAGAAAATGCATTGGGTATCTGCTAATGAAACTCTATGTGTTGTAGAGAAACTGGTGATAAAGTAACACTAGCCTCACTCACTGCATTGCAATGTGACCTAGGCTGACCCTGCCTGGGGTTTCCTTGTCTCAATAGAGAGCTGGACATTAGGTGGAACAAAAATCAGGAAGGCTTGGGGTCAAAGGTCAAAGGGCGGTATCTCTCAGCGGACCATTGCAGACAGGAAAATTAGGTGCAATGAAATCCCCAGGTCAGGGTTTTAATTAGAGGTATTTTGTTTAAACAAGTAATTAAAGTTACATTGCACAAGTCTACTTTGTTAACACACAACGGCATAATAGATTCAAGGACTGTTTCTTTAAAAACACATACTAATGCCATAAGCTACCATAGTGCCATTTGTAAAGTTTTTTCCTGGAGTGTCAGGAAAACTTTTGTCATTTTGTCACATCATTTTGTCTCATCAAGAGCTGAGTGGGTGAGGTATAGAAGGATATTTTTCTCATTGCCAGGCACAATGAAAAATCAACAGACAGATACAATTACTAAAGGAAACTGATACTGCAGCATGATTCTACACAACATAATCCCTTCTCAGCTGCTAAGGAGCAACACAAATGGTGAGAGATTTAAATTGAACGCAATATGTAAATAGACAAGGCACTTTCTCAGCCTCTTAAATAATGCTTAGGTTTGAACTTTTTAAAACCCTTTAATTGATCAACGTAAATAATTGATCAATTAAAATTATATTTTCAATAGGCTCTTTGTAGCCTGATCACCACCTAAAAGCATTTCATCATTCATCCCAGTGCATGGTGAAACAGGAAATAAACATAATATATGTAAACCTACCAAACCACAGATGGAGGACTCAGCCTAAAGCAAATTAAATTTAAGCCATTTTCATTGTTAAGTGTTAAGAGAAAGTTCTGCCTTCTCAGTTTAAAAGATAGCAGCAATAGAAAACAGTCGCCAAACCAGAGCAGTGGTTCTGTCTGGACTCTTGACCAGAAGTTTGCTGGTTCAAATCCCAGGTGGGGAGACTGTTGTGGTGCACAGGAGCAAAGTTTTTCTATACCCAGAGTTCTCCTGCAACTCCAGCTGTATAGATGAGTGCCTCCCAATATAAGAAATTATCGTTGATATGTCCTTTATTAGTAGTAATTGTAGTCAAACACACTAATATTAACAATGTCAGTGCTAAATAAGACACTTTCAAGAAGGCAAGTTGAAGAACAGCCAGAAAGATTCTTATATTCAGTTAGAATGACTCATTCTGCTTCAGGTGGAGAGGGGTGATACACATGGCGTGTGCAGGGGAGGACTCTCTGGCTTCTAGCTGAGCTGAATCCTGGTGGGTATTCGATATCGTGCAACCCCACCACGTACTGACGATAGGAGCAAGATAGAATTCCCGCTGCTTTCCAGCGCCGGCGCTAGAGCTGAACTCTTCTGCCAGAATGGGATTGAAATTCTGTGAGCCGAGCGCTGCATCATGCGAAGAAGCAAATTCACGGCACAAAGCTGGCTTCTTCACCACGGGGGGGGAACAATACCCTACAGGTGCCAGAAGGATAAGTGCACTAGTGAAAGAAAAGACTTCCTGAAAACGGGTATTTCCAGCTCCCAGCAGTTGTGATATTCTTTGTCTTAGAGTCTGTTTCAGGGGAAAGTGAAAATAAAAGTTTAAACAACCCCCCCCATAATGTCTTCGTCCTTCCTTTGTTACAATTTGGGAGAGAAATGTTTCAAATTCATGAATGTTTAATGTTCATGTTCTAAAATAAAACTTGAGTTAAATAAAAGAGTTGGTCTTTGAACAAAGCACAATGCCAAAACGTTTATATGAAGGTTTTCTGCTGAAGCCTGGCAAGCAATGGCTTTTCGGAAAGCGAGGAAAATTCCTTGTCGGCGATTTCTAGTGTCCTGTGCTGGCCAAGACGTTGACCTGTTGTCCTGCAAATCCTCAGGGAACCCCAGACTCCCGCAGGAATGTGTCGCTCGCTCGCCGAGGGCCTCAGCATTGGCGCTATTAGTAAGCAGTTAACATTCCACGGGAGGCGTGTGCGTGTGCGTGTGGGTACCAGGAGCCTTCAAACCGAGAGACGCTCGACGTCTTTGCCTAACCCAGCGGTGGGAACTCGTCAGAGGTTAAAACTGCCCTAATTGCCTCTGCATCAAATACATTAACGCCCCTTATGGGTAGCGACGGCCTTTGGCATCTAGTATTACAACACTCACAAATTCATTATATACATGATCTCATTATTATTATTATTATTATTATTATTATTATTATTATTAACTAGACGTACCGTTTGAAAGAATCGAATGAGCCGAGGCCCTGTGATCTTTTCAATGCATTATCGAGAACAAAAACGCCACCCCTCCGTGTATCAAAAGTGAACATTTTATCACGGCTGTTAAAAGTTGCTTTTCAAGTTGGCACAATGCGCTTTCTTGTGTTTGAACCCTGTATTTGCGGTTCAGGTTGGAATTTTCGAAACGTGACGTCTGCAGCCAGGTGCTTTAATCCATTAGGATGCCGGTTTTATTATGCCCGAATAAAGACTACAAAAAAGAGGCAGTTTTCATTATGAACCTACACCCCTGAGGAAATCCATCAGCCAGTCACGCCCCGCCCACCCCTGAAAACCGTGACCTCATCCGAAAAGAAAAGTTCTTCCCGGGATTGGAGGATTTAGCCTCAACTTTTCTTGAGCAATCCTGCTTTTTTCCCTTTTCTAAACTGGAAGGATAGCCTCTCTAACGCCTTAATATTGCCCTCCACAGCGTAAATGACACAGGGGAAGCGGCGCTTTGCTTAGAAACTATTTATCGGCTACAGAGGCAACACTTCTGTTTTTTTTTTCCAATTGGGAGAAAGCTTTATTACTGTTTGCACTTCAACGTAGACTTAGCGATTTTTTTGCACCATTCAGACTTATTTTTTAATTCAGTAACTGTATATACTATTTAACTTTTTATATTCGGTTCACTTCGTCTGAACGTTTTTTTTTTGTGCGAGATTGATTTTTTTAACATAAGCAGCATATATATATAATACAGAGAGAGATTTTTGGTTCACCTCTTGCGGTAATGGCAGGCTTGAATTCTCTGGATGCTGTTAAAAGAAAAATCCAGACTTTGCAACTGCAAGCGGACGATGCGGAAGACCGAGCCCAGATCCTGCAGAGGGAGCTGGACAGTGAGAGAGAACTTCGGGAGAAAGTGAGAAATTCATCTTAACTGTTGTAACTTTTGGTTTCTTGTGCCAATGATTAGTTTTTGTGTTTTGTGTTTGTTTTTTCCCCCCGCAGTTTTCGTTCCTGTTTCCCCCCTATAGGCGGTGGCGCTCGTTATTATTCTGAAAAAAATGAGTTAAAATGCAATTGCAAAAAGCCACGTAAATTCATTGATAGGACCGGCTGCAGCCTACAATACAAGGCGTTGGTTCTGGAATCGAAGAAGGCTGGCGAAATTAATTGCGGGTCCTAAAGCCTGCAGTTAGCTTACGTGTCCATTTTTATGCGCTTTGCAGAGCCCCGGTGCCCGTGTCCTGCAAACTTCTTTTTAGTTCTCGGATTGGGAGACAGCGCCCTTGCTTATTTTCCCAATTAAAACGAGGTTTAAAATACGAATTAGCGCTTTAACTCTCATAGCGCTTTGCGGGTGTTTGCAGAAAAGGGTGGACCCTCAATATCCGACGGGGCCGTTTTCGCGAGTAACCCGAAACGATGAGCACGACATTGGCCCATCTGGTGCTGATTCAAAGTTGTTGGTTTTTTTTTTAACTTCTATCCATCGTTACTTCTAATAATCGTCAATATTGAACTGTCTGCGTAGTTTGAACGCGTTTGAATACGGTTTACCGGCACAGATGTAAAATACATTTTATTCGCACCTTTATTTAGTTCGGTTGACTAACTAAAGATAGTAACATTTTATTTCGAAGATGTCTTTAATGCCACCAGGACTAAGGTGAAATAGATTTCTCTTCAGCATGACAACATGGTAAAATAAGGGTCGTGTTGTCCATCTTCAGACAGTAATTTAGGGCACGTCTGTAGCAGAATAAGAGTTACTTTAGTTGCCTGACTCCCTGCTGGTAAGATCAAAACACTACGTGTGCACGGCACAAAAAATGTTGTTTTATTCCATGTTTCCACTTGATAATTTTCGGAACAGATGGTTAAGTGGGCTCTTGGATGCCTTTCTCTGTGATTTCCTCGTTTTTCATACATCCTGTCAAAAAAGACACTTGGCTGGCTTCTAGGCTTTTTGTTTTATTTTCGTCATTACTGAAGTGTTTTGGGGGTTCCCCTGGGATGGGTTCGCGAGCCTCAGATTAGGGGTTACCCTGATGGAATCGAGTAGGTTTCCAGGGTGGCGCTGGGGGATTCCATTAGCTGAGCTGCGGAATGTGGGAGGAAAGGTGCTGAAGTTTTGGGAGCGTCTGTTGGAGCTGGTCTGGGGTCCTTTGCTTTGTGCGTGGTGACGTATCTCCTCGGAGCCACGCCTAGAATAGGGACCCAACGTTATTCGTGAGGAGGAAACTAGGGGGTAACGGTGTCGATGCTCAGAGAGTCTAAAGACCAGGGGGCTTTGATTATATTCTGCGGGTTTCGTGGGTCGCCAGTAAATCAACGATTTTTAATTTGAAAATAAAAGAAACAATAATGTACAAATCATTTGCAATCAAACTGCGGAGATCTGTCAGCCCCCATTGAGCAGAAGTCTCCTGATTTAGCTCAATTAATTAATTCCTCGATACGTTATAGCTCCCCCATCTTCCTACAAGACCACTCAGGTCTCCCCAGTGCTTGAGGCTGTGTGGACATCCAATAGAGTCTCATTCAGGCATCTTCTTCATTTCTAATTGGGAGCCCCTGCTTCAGTCTAGCTGTTCCACATTTCAAATCCCACTGTTTCTTTTCATGATTTGTGTTGCTAATGGATATTCTTCTGGAAACAAGGGAAGAAAATTCCCATTCCGGGCAAGAGGTTTTGCCAGGGACAAATGAGTCAGGAGTGGTTAAGATAGGAAGTGCAGCAATTAAAAGAGCAGTCGACATAATGCTTTCTAACGAGCAAATGGGTGGCTTAGGCTTCAGAGAGCTTTCTTCTAGTTGTCTTTGACTTTTAAGGTAATGTGTTCGCCCTGCTGTGTATTCTGATGCACAATCATGTGTCATTTCCTGTAAGAGAATTGTGTAGCAGCTGTGTGTCTCACGAATGAATCATATGGCTCTAACAAGAATGGTTTTGCCCTGTCCTCTATTGCAGAAGTGAAAAAGATGTTACCCGCCACTGCTCAGTGTTGCTTGGAAACTGAAGTGTAAACTTTAATTTAGAGATTAAAGACAAAGAGATTAGGTGTTGGAAGTCATCTTCAAAGTCATAACGTGCATTTTTAAGTAAAGCATCTCTCACTCAAGTTTCAAATTCAAAGAGATCTATTGGCCTGAATGATGAGATAAAATGTTGCCAAAGCAATAGCAATTTGTAAAGAGTTACATGCTTTGTAAATAATACACTGGTCTTCATGTTCAAAAGGAGTTTCTTGTTAATGACGGGAAAGCAAATCTTTTGATTTTAATTGTCCTGTTGTTTTGGGGTCTGCTTACAGAGGGAGTGGCTGCTGTTAGCTTCCAGTGCAGTGACTTCCTTGCCTGATCACTCTCAGGAACTGAGCTGAGATTCTTTACTGCCCAGTTTCCTGTCCTCCCAGTTGAAAAACCAGATAACCAGACAGATAAGCAAATGACTCACAGGCCAGAGCTTGAATTGGGCTCCCCTGACCCATCCAGGTCTTAAGGCTGGTCGCAAATCAACTCTTGCTAGGTCTGGCCTGCAGCTTGTTACGTGAGATTGTGAAGCTGCCCTGACAATAGTTCTATAAATGATTTGGAGTGGAATGGATCAGTTTCTGTGTGGTCTTCATCAGATTGCTAAAATTGAAAGCTACACCCAAACTACTGGTAGTTTTTAATTCCTTCTCTAATTCAATGGACCCTCCTCTATTAAACTCTATTAAACATCCAACCAGAAATTTTCAGTTACCACATTGTCCAAAACAGGGTTTTGGAGAAGAGAAACCCATTCCAGCAGGCCAGGGAAGCAAATAAGGATAAACTCTGGACAGGATGCCAGTCCATTGCAGCCTTATCTATAAAATATAACTGACAGCATTGAGCTGAATGGTTTCACTAATGGATGAGCTCTGAGGTATGCAATCAATAGATTCCAGATGCATGCTTCTGATACCAAGCTGGCTATGTTTTTGTGTCAGAGCAGACAAAGTGGGGAAGTAGGACTCTTAATTGCCCTACAGGGCAGAGGGTGAATGACCTTTATCCCAGGAATCTTGGTGTTTATGTTATTGTTGCTCATGAGCTGCGAGAAGCTTCTCAGATCCTAGCTGTACATGGAGGCTGACTCTTGTGTCACTTTTAGGGGGTGTTTTATGCAGCCCATACTGAATGTTTTTCCAGCATAAGAATTGATGGCAGGGCTTGGAATGTCCTCCCTTCCTGATCCGATGGTGTGTTTAAGTTGGAATGGTTCTATGGGAACATGGCAGAGTTCCAGATTTAGCTTATACTGCTTCAGGGTGTGAAAGTCAGTGCTCAACTGCTCTCTGCTTGAGTAACACAAACAAGAGGACCGCAGTCTGGAGGGAGAGGGCTGGAGGAATGGA